CTTGGGCTGCCCACGAGTCCAAGACGTCACTGAGGACCAGGCCTGGGCAAGCTGCCGGGCAGGACGGAGCGCCCCGGCGTGGGCAACTCGCGAGCAGAGGACGCCGCGGCCCATGTGCGCCACTCACCCTGTGTGCCCGTGGTGGTCCCTGCAGGCCCCCAGCTCCTTGCTCCAGGCACACGCCGGGTCTCTGGCCAAAAGGCAGTCCGGGCAGGTCCCATACTGGGCACAGTTAGAGGTGCCGATCTGGGTCACTTCACCGTCGGAAGCCACGTACAGCCAGTTCTGTGGGGAAGGCAGGGTCAGGCCTCCGCGGGCTCCATGTGCCTGAGGCCGGCAGCCAGGGCACCCATTGGGCAAGACCGCCTCAGCCTCTCCAACACAAGGTGACCAGCCGGCCCTTTCCCGGTGCCACCGTGAGGTGGGGAGCCACCTCTCTCCCTCTCGGGGGCTCAGTTCTAGCAACCGGTCCCTTGGCGACTGAGCTGGAAAGGACTGACTGTGGCTCCTTCTGCCTGAGACCCCCCCCCCCAAATCACAGCGTGCTTCACATTGGCTAGGGTGACCACCTAGGAGTTGCTGTGAAAAGGCCATCGTGTCCCACGTTGACCCGGGGCCCTGAGCGGCATCAGGAGGCCCCCCCCCCCAATCCACACCCGCCGCTGCCGGAGCGCCCAGACCCAGACCCCCCGCCTCGGGCACCCAGAAGGGAACTCGGGGCAGGTGGGCACACGCACACACATCCCGCTGCCCCAGACCCCATCCTCAACAAGGGCAGCAAAGAGTCACCCGGCAGAGTCACTCGGCCTCCTGGCCAGCAACAAGGGCGGAGGACGATGGGCTCTCGTGCCTCCCGAGACGTGTGGCTGAAGGGCGCCAACCCAATGCGGGCAGGATGGTGCCAAGCTCCTTGGGGAAAGGGGAAGGGCAGCCTGTGCCGGAGGAGGACTCACCTCCTCCACACAAGGCCCCGCCAGCCCCAGCCCGCCTTTTGCCAGGGAAGGAACACGGAGGCCTCCCCCCCCCCCCCCCCCCCAGGCTCGCCTCGCTGGGTGAGGATGAGCAGGTTCCGTACCGGCCGATGCTCCGCAAACAGCATCAGGTCCTCAACGAGGGAAGCCTCATGGTCCGTCTTCACAGCCTTGTGCAAGTGTCCATCCTCTGCCGAGGGGGGAGGGGGGAGAGGCGGCGGCAGGTCAGTGCGGTCGGGGGGGGGCGACTGCCATGATGACCCCTGCGAGCAGCCCCCTCCAGCACATCTGGGGGGCCCAAAACCACACAGCCCCCTGCCCTCACCTGTCCCCAGGTACAGGACGTCATGCTCCTGCCCGGAGAGAGCTCTGGCCCGGTGAACGGCCAGCCGGCGGTACCGTGCGTCCGGCTTCACGAACACGGGCCTGTTCTCGAGGGGGTAGGCCGGCTGATCCATGAGCGGGTGGTCACGAACGAAGGTCAGGACTCGGTCTGGGAGGGCCAGTGAGGAGCCAAAGCCCGCCTGCTTCATGCTGCTGGTGACGCACTGCAAAGGAAGCGGCGGAGGTCCAGACCCAGCAGGCAGGCAGGCCCCCCTCCACACACACCCACACCCACCCCTGTGGGTCCCCGTCACTTACTGCCCCTGGCCGCGGGTGCGGGACTTCGTCCTGCCCCCTTTTGTCGCAGTCCCTCTTGAACTCCTTGAAGTGACCGTCCATGGCTCTCCGGACACTCTCCAGGCTGTAGGCACAAACGGCAGAGCCCGTCCCCTCGCTCCTGCAGGGGGGGGGAGAGAGAGAGAGAGAACCGCTGCAGCTCTGGTGCAGGGCACTGGTCGTCCTCGGCCCCGACTCCCGGCAGCAGCGCCTCCGGCCCTCTCTGCCAGGCCTCCCTCCTGGCTCGTGGACGCTTGCCTCCCGGACGGCAGGCCAGCTCCAAGGCGCCCTCCTGGCATACGGGCCCATCGCTCCCCCTCCCCCGGGCCGCAGAGGCGCGCCATTTCACAACCCAGCGTGAGCTGCGTCTCATGAACCGCGTGCTCAAGGCTGGCAAGACTTCTGTTTGGCATATGGGGGGGCAGGTGGGAGCTCACAGATGTGGACCCTCGGTCGGTGCCCACTGGCTTGAACTCCGGGGCCCTTCCCTGACTCCAGGGAGGATGCCAGCACCCGGGTGGATAATAAATATTTTAAATCCATACACAGAACCCCTTTTTTGGCTGCAAGAGACAGTGGAAGGCAATGGAGGCCAGCAGGGGCATACACCACAGTGGTCTTAAGACCAGGACTGCCCTCAGGCAATCTAGCTGGCCAAGGGCTCTCCACGTGGGGAGAGACGGCTGCCCCAGGAATCCGCCTTTAACTGGGTAACGCCAGCAATGGGGGGGACCCCTCTGCTCCGTAGCCAGGCCCCTGCTGCACCACTTCTCTGCACCTGATGGTCCCCCCCACACCTGTTAGGGGGGCAGTTATAAGAACACAAGAGAGAAGCCAATGTGGGATCAGGCCACTGGCCCATCCAGTCCAACACTCTCTGTCACACAGTGGCAAAAAAACACCCAGGTGCCACCAGGAGGTCCAGCAGCGGGGCCAGAACTCCAGGAGCACCCTCCCCCCCAGCACCATGAATACAGAGCATCACTTGCCCCAGATACAGGGTTTCATCTACACTTTGTGGCTAAGAGCCACTGATGGACTTCTGCTCCATATGCTTATCTGATTCCCTCTTGAAGCCGTCCATGCTTGTAGCCGCCACCACCTCCTGTGGCAGTGAATTCCATGTGTTAATCACTCTTTGGGTGAAGAAGGACTTCCTTTTATCTG